TACATTCCTTGTGGGAAGTTAATACATGTACCTGACATCTTTATTTTTTTGTCCCCACTCCCATACCTTGATCCCCTTTTCTCTTTCTTTTTTCCTTTCTTTCTTCCTTTTTCTTTGTACATGTTTACTGTATATAATGTTTATAACTCTTACGTGGAGCTGTTATATATGCATAACACATCCCATTTCCTCTTTTTCAAATCTGTTATACCTTATCTCCCTCCACCCTCCCTCCCTATTTCCTTTTTCTTTTATTTTTCACTCTGGGTTTCTCATGTAAGATAAGCCATGTGACATTTAAGCTTGTGGATCTGATTTATTTCACTTGATGTTAGATCTCAAAGGGCACCCATTTTCCTGCAAATGACCCAAATTTTTCTTTATGGCAGAGTAATTCTTCATTGTGTGTAAATACCACATTTCCTTTATCCATTAATTTGTTGATGAACATATAGGCCACTTCAGAGATTTATTATGAAATGTGTGTTCTAAACTTGGGTATGCATGTATCACTATAATGTAATTGTACAAGATTTTAAATAGTCTTAGACAAACATAAACAACCAAGACATTATTAAATTTCAAAATTGCAGTTTTTCCTTATGTTACATATGATGCTCTTGCATCTAATATTTTACATTAAGTATGTGACTGTAATTTTTGTTTTTCAGAAACTGATATTATATATCCAAAAAGGTAAAAAAATTACTTATAAAAATGCTCCCATTTCATTCTTTGTGAATTCCATACTTAGCTTGCTGAATTCATTGGTCCACTGATTATCAACAGTACTAAAAATTCTTTCCATACCAACAGTAGACATTGGAATCAAAATACAGTTTTGAGCCAGTGTTAACTTATTTGGAACTACAAGCTTTTTGTTGGAAAATGCTTCCACGTATCAAGGAATGTTATTCTCTCCCAGCAAAGGGACAAGATACCAATGTCCTCGTAAAGTGAATTTGGAGAAATTTTTGTTTTCCCTCCAGGGAAATAATGTCCAAATTTGAACTACTTTACCAGAAAAGAGTGTTATTGAGGCTTGTTTTGTGAATAGGCAAATGACAGATGCCACATAGAAGACTCTCAGAGCATAAGGGAAATTTCTAAAAGCGGTCACCTTCTTTGCTGTTTCACCAAGACTTGTGATCTTCCTGGCTTTTGACCTTACAGTTTATGAGCCTCATCTATCCATTGGCATACATACCAGACACCATGAAAATGATTTAAGACCAGTATGTAGGGACTCTGTTTTAACTTTGTTTAGTTCACTTTGTATATGGCTAGGAGTCCTTTTCTCAGTCTTAATCTTACCTATTTTGCTTTTTTCTCTTTTTGGGTAGTTTTTTTCTGTTTTATAATAATTATTATTATTATTACTATTATTAATATTTTGTCTTTTTGAGACAGGGTCTTGCTCTGCAGTTCAGGCTGGCCTTGAACTCACTTTCTGCTTTCATCCTGAGGCTTCCCATGCACTCTATAAAATGTAAAGAATGCTTAGTTCACATGAGGTTTATAATTTGTGGTTCCACTCATAATAAATGTTTAAAATGTGTAATAAATACTGATGTTTTCTGAATAAACATATTCTACATTTTAAAAAACTAAATTTAAAAAATATTTTTATTAATATAATACATGCACATGAATTTTAGAAATCACTAAGTACTAAAAGGCTTAGTGAAGGCACTGACACTCTGTGCTGTCTGTCCACACCCCCTTCACTCTCCAGCAGCAGCTACTTCCAGTTGTGTAGTGGTTTCTTCTGGTAGTTTCTGCTGCGTGCCCCCTTACGTGCTTCTGGTAAATTTCTTGGTACACCTGCCTTGGACAGTGTGTGGTAACTTCTTCATGTGGTAGACACTGGTTTTAATTTCCATAAACATTTGCATTTGTTATGAAATAATACTTTGGTTATTTCATTTTATTTGATATTCTTCTCTTTTAATAAAATCTCACCTATTTATCACATATACATACAAGCTTAAAAGTGTTTTTTGTTACATATACCTTCACACTCCCACCTGTGCCATCATATTGGGCCTTCTTTTTTTTTTCATGAAGCAAACACCACTTTATGTATTTTTTTTTAATTTAAGTTTAGATATACATAATGGTCACTTTGGTTTTTTTTTTTTTTTTGTCTTTTGAGTCAGGGTCTTACTCTGTAGTTCAGGCTGGCCTTTAACTTATTTTGTAGCCCAGGCTGGCCTCAAAGTTTTGGTGTTGCTCCTGCCTCAGCCTCATGAGTGCTGAGATGACAAGGCATGCACCACCATGCCCAGCAGTTATGGGGAATTTGTATATGTACGTGCTGTGTATTGATTCCTCTCCCTCTACAGACATCCTTGTAGGGCTCATTTATTATGGACCAGTTGTTCTGAAGGCACCCTGCCCCACGGACATCTCAGAACCTTCTTTTCCTGGGTTGGGTCCACTGTCTGCTGTACACCATGACTTCTTTTTTCTGGTTTATTCTTTCATTTTTCTTGAGGAAATCCTGAGACGGTTTTCACATTTATCATTGGAAATATACACTCTGAGTTTTTTCACGGATTCTTGCAACCTGTGCATTCTTCAGCAAGCTGGTGCTATTCCGAATCTGATTCTGTAGACCCAGAATGAGGTAGATGAGTGAGATCCTCAGATCCCATTGTTTGTGGAGGGGCAGGGTAAGGGGGGATTCAAATGACAGGCTGCTCACCTCTGAGGTTCAGTCCACACAGGTACTGAGCAGGCTGGTAGACAGGCTGAACATGGCAGAGGACACGAATGGTCACTCTGTGTGGACCCTGGGAACCAGCATGGCTCAGCCGCAGTCGTGTGAGGATGACATCACGGTTCCTCTGGCCGCTGGATGGATATGGGTGATTGTCAAAAAAGTCAGTGGAATTCTAGACTGCATTAGTAAAACCAACAACAACAACAAAACCTTCCTGACCAGGGAAATCAGGGGCCTGCTTACCCTTGCAAGGGGCAGTTCCCACTTGGCTTATGGTTTTGTTCTGGGTATGTGTTTTCATTTAGCAAACTTCTCATACTTAAGGGCTCTTTTCAATTGTCATTTCACTCTGTAGCTTTCCTGACACCTCCCTGACCCACATTCATTTAATACTTTGTCTTGGTCTTCAGTCTTTATTTATTTGCTTACCATGTTGCTAAAAGATATATCTTGCTTCTCTATTAAATCAAGTCTCTCAGGGATATTCAGACAAGTCACTTAATCCTTGTGATTACGAATTTGGAATAGAAACAATAATCTTGGCTCCTTTTTTTGTGTGTGAGCTTTGTAAATATCAGATGAGTTGTATATTATGATGCTTTACAAGCAGCCAATGGGAGATGGTGTTACTTCCTGTCCATTTGTTACCCTAATGAATAACAGCCTCAAGTTAGCGAGCCAGTTAAGCAGCAGTTGTTCCTAGCATCTGTGTAAGTGTCCCCACCCTGATGTGTCCTGAATTTTTCAGTAGAACAGCTTGTTCTTTATTTTCCAACTTTTTTAGCACTGGGACTTTTCTGTCAGCTTATCTTTTGCCTCTTCTCTCTGAAGTCTGGGCCATACAGTAGCCTGCCTCCTGGCTACATCCTCTGGGGAGGATTTGGGCAGGGTCTATCCAATGCAGCCTGAGGCTTCCTGATGTACCAGACATAGCCTGGGATTTGCAGACCCAAGTTCTGGGAACTGCCCTGCTTCCCTGGTGCAGGCAGTCAGCATTCCTCTGCTCTCTGCTACATGGTGGGGCTGGTGACACTGGCAGGTCTGTTGGTCCAGGTCTTTACACAAACCATTGGTGTCTCAAGACTAAGTTTGGCCCTGGATGCTCCAGACCAGCAGGCCCACTCTATTTATACTCCCAGACTTAGCCATTGACTTCCAATTCCAGAAGCTCTGGACCCTGCTGCTGAATTTGAGGGAACTCTCAGCATTAACTGCATGCTATGCCAGAGTTAGCCCTCCTGGGCAAACCTTTCTTTTCAAGCTTACAGCCTTCTTTTCAAGTGAGACCTCCCAACTTAGACTGCTTTCCTCAAAGTCATTGTACTTAAGGAGTTTTATTACATCACACCTTGACTTGGGACATGCAGGATGACCACAACATGAGACCTTGATCTTGAGCAACAAGAATTCAGATCTCTACTCTTGCCTTCTAGATTTTTTTTTTCTTTGTCTTTTTCATTTTTATTGGTACCAGGGATCGAACTCCCGACCGCCTGCTTGGAAGGCAGGTACTTATGCCGCTGAGCTAAATCCCCAGCCCCTACTTTCCCTTCTAAGAAGGCTCCCTGAGCTATCCTTTCTAGGTTGTCAGATTTGCATTCGCATACCGTGGAGATCTCAGTCACCAAAGAGTTCGCTTCTCTAATCTCAGGCTGTTCATCCTGTGATGCTTAATTGGGTACCTCTTAGGTGACTGCTTTTGTGAAAGAATTTTGTCTTATATTTACACTGTGCCCAGTGTAAATATAACACTGGAAGATGCCAGGGAATCTGGACAAAGTAGCCTAGGTCGGCATCTGGAATGCCATGTGGCAAGTCCATGTGAATTGTGTGCAAGTTCCTGGGTTCATCTGTCAAGGAGATGTTGAGGGGAGCAAAGGTAACTGATTCAGGGGAAGAGGCTTGGTGTAGTTGTGAAATAACCTCAAGGTTACCTGGAGGATTTTACTCTCAGAACACCTCGCTATTGTGGTCTCTGTACCACAGAGGTCAGTGCTTGTGTTTGCTGGGGGTTCTGGCATCATGTAGCACTGTGTGTGGACAGCCTCAGGGGTACCACAAGTGTGAAATTCTCTGAAAACAAGAGCGAGGCTGTGCAGTTTTCTATCTCTTCATGAAACAGCCTTTAAAAATCCTTTGCTGAGTCTACAACTCAGCATAGACATGCCATTTAGAATGTTTCCTTTGGTTCTTTGTTTACAGATTTTTTCTCCCTCTAGCTTTATCTGGTTTATTTCTCTTCTCTCTCATGCTCTGTAATTTCTTTTCATTACAGCTTTTGAATCGAAAAGACAAGACCACCTTTGAGAAATTGGACTACCTGATGTCCAAAGAGGATAATTATAAGCGGACTCGGGAATATATCCGAAGCCTGAAGATGGTGCCCAGTATTCCCTATCTAGGTAGGAGTCTGAACTTGCTTATTTTATGTGTGTGTGGGTTTTTTGTTTGTTTGTTTTTTGAAATATGTTCAATGCCAAATAAGGTATTTTTACAGTTTCTAGTTGAGAATTTTCCAGGAAGCAGCAGGGGTCATGGATAAAGAGGCAGTTGGTTGGCTTTTTGGGTTGGAATTGGCTGTTGATATTTTTTAGGGACAGGAACCTTGGCGAGGGGGAGAAACAAGCAGTGTTCTGCCTCTTATGCATGTGCTTTGTGAGCTCCAAGCTCCCAGGCGGCAGCCCAGACAGGTCATACTTACAGTGGAACGACTTAACTGCACCATCTGCTTCCTCCTGAACTGGGGAACCCCTCTGTGCTGGTTCTCAGGCACTATTAGTGTATTTCATAAGATGTGTACAAACTGGATTATAGTAATAATTATTAATTCTTCTATTAGAAAATAATGTATGTTCACCGTATAGAGTTAGGAAAGGAAAGTGACTATTACTCATTATCCTAAAGATACTTTATTCATATCTTGCCATTTATTTGGACATATATAAAATACTTCTACCCCATCTTGAACACCTAATGTTACTATTCACATTTTAAACTATGTAAGTTGTTTGTATGTTTTACAGTGAATATCATTGCAAAAACTTCTATATATGGTTATGAATATTACGTTGCAGTAAATTCCTACATGTGTGATTAATGAGCCAAAACTTACACAAAAATATATGCCTTTTCCTGTATCTTCTCAAAGTACTCTCTAGAGAGATTAACTTACACATTTATTAGAAACTGATGGAATTACTTCTGCATGTCTAAGTGCTGCACATTTTGCTGTTTCTTTTTTTCTCTCTATTTTAAATTTTTAAATCATCACCAACTTGATGAGTGAAAAATGCTTCCTGTAGTTTGAACATTGGTATTATGTGAATTTTAGAAAAAAGAGTAAACTAAGGTTTTAACAGCACTGTAAACTAAGCTCTTATAGAAGTGCTGCCTGGTATTTTTAGAGATCCAGTACAGTTTTTTGGAGATACATCTTTGGCAGCTTTTAAAATATCTTCCATGAGCATTTTAAATTTAGATTTTCTAATTCTTTAAAAGGCAACTTGGAAAATTTGGGTTTTATAAGGAAATTGTCTATTTGATCCAAGTTTTCAAAATTATTAGCATAGAGTTTGTGTGTATGTGTGTACATGTGTGCATGCAGGCACATGGTACCCAGTATTGAGCCCAGCACCTTCACATTGAGCTGCCTCCCCAACTCTTTAAAAACTTGTTTTTAATTTTGCGACAGGATCTAAGTCACTTGAGTTGCTCAGGCTTGGCTCAAGTTTCAGTCCTCCTGCCTCTGCCTCCCAGGGTACTGGGATTGTAGGTGTGTACCACCAAACTCATCTTCCATTTAATTTTTTAACGATAGTGTATTATATAATATTGTCCCATAAATTCAAGTCTCTATGTGCATATAGTTATATTGCTTTTGTGTTCCTAGTAGTTTATATTTTTGTTTTTTCTTTCCTTTTAAAAATTTGCCTTGCTAGAAATTTATCTGTTGGTCTTTTCCAAAAAGTTAAATTTTAGACTTATTATTGGGCACACTGTTTTCTGATTTTAATATGTTGTATTTTATCAATCTGCACTTAACACAGAATGTATCTTTAAATCGATGATGAAGCATTGTAATATTGCTTCATTGGCACATAGAAAAGATACATCTTTAAAAGAATTTGATATAATTTTATACTACAGAAACAATGAAGTCATTAATATAGCCTCCAGTTGCTCCTTTTGTTGCATTCTGCATGTTTGATGTTGATATCCTCAGTGAGTTTTAAAGTATTCTATAGTTATAGCTTCAGCTTTTCTTTTATTCAAGTACTAGTTTTTTTTTAAATTTCAAAGTCTTTATTTTTTGAACAGCTTTACTGAAATAATTCCTATAGAAACCATTGCAAGTGTACCATTCAGCTTTTTTTTCTTTTGGTATAGTCCCAAAGTTGCGTAGCCACTACCATAGTCACTTTTAAGCATTTTTATCATCTCATAAAGAAATCCCTTCATCCACTGGCAGTCACTCCCGTTTCCCTTTAGCCATCCTCCTCCCATCCTCACCACCTAGGAGCTACTATCTACTTTCTGCCTCCAAAGATTTGTCTGTTCTAGAAATTGCATATAAACTGAATCATGCCTGCTGTTTTTCATGACTAGCTTCCTTCTTCATGTTTCCCAAATACATCCACACTGAAGTAGAATCAGTACTTGATTCTTACTGCCAAATGATAGTCCATTATATAGATACTCTGCAATTTATGTATCTATTCATTTGATGGATGTTTGAGTTGTTTTTAGTGTTTGGCTATTATAAATAACACTGCTATGAATGGCCTTTTAAAAATTACAATGTTTTTACGTTGGTTTAGAATACATGGCATGATTTTTTAAATATTTGAGATTTTTCTTATAGCTTAACATTTAATTAGTTGTTATAAAGGTTTCATGGGTCCTGGAAAAGAAGGTGTAATCTCTCAAATTATTTTTATGGTTGCATTATTATATTCAAATTATTGATAACGATCTATTAATAACAGAAATAGCTGTTACAGTCTATGCATCTTTAGTAGTTTCTGCCTTATGCATTTGGTATATAGAAATTTATAACAGTTATACTTTCATTATGAAGTGGCCCATGCAAAAACTTGGTTCCAAAAGCCAGGCGTGGTGCTGCATGCCTGTAATCCTAGCAGTTGGGAAGCTGAGGCATTGCCATGAGTTTGAGTCCAGCCTGGGCCACGCAGTGAGTTGAAAGCCAGTTTGAACTACATAGTGAGGCCCTATCTCAAAAAACAAAAGCAAAAAAACTCTTGGTTCCAGTTTGTGACTTGGTTTTACTTCATTGGCATAAATTGTATGGCACCTATTTTATTCTTCATTTGCACTTACTTTATAAATCCTTGACTGCATTTTAGATTTTAGTATTCTAAGATTCCTTGCTTTAGGCATGATCTTTGCAAACAGAACTCAGTTGAACTCAATCATAAGAGACTTTGTCTTTTTGTAGGGGATGTAACTCTTACAGTTATTTAGTCTTATGCCATATAATTGAATTGACTTTCATGCTGTGCTTTCTTCTTTCATGCTTTCCTTGTTCTCTTCTTCCAGCTTGCCATAAGCTGTAGTGCCTTTCTATTTGTTGTCTGGCATATCCTTCCTCAGGTCTGCAGAGGAAGGGCACAGCTCCTGAGTCCATTCCACTCTGTGCAAGGCTACCAAGCGAGTGATGGGATTTATGATATGGGAGTGAGGGTAGCCTGGGCCCACCACTGGTTCAGTGGGTGGGGTGCTCCGGGATGGTTGATGAGGCCTTTTTTCTCTAAGAGGAGTGATCATGAGAGCTTCTGGGTAGTATCTGCTCGCTGTCTGTCTTTTGCTTGGCCAGGCATTTGAATGCATTATCTCATTGAATGTTCACCATAGCGCAGGCTCTGAGAGATTACCTAGGTTCACATTAACTGGAAAGTGGCAGGGCCAGGATGACACCCAGATGGCCTGGCTCTAAGCCTAAGCTCTTGACACTACCCTCTCTTGACTTCCTGTCTCTACTGTTCAGGTCATTACTTTCCCAGCCCTGGCCCACCACTGTATTTCCTGTGCCATTTGTGACTGTTTGGGCACTGGCACTATGTGAAATAGATGGACATCTTCTCTCTTTCTTGTGATGCAGGGCTGTCTTGGGCCTCCAAGGGCATTGGTGGCCTGCACCAGCCTTTGGACTCCTTGCCCCTCACAGCATCTGGACGGATGCAACCCTCCTTGTTCTGACCACCTAGTTTTGGCCACCTCTTCCTGACAGGTGCTTCCCATTATCCCCTAGAGGCCTGCTTCCCCCACATGGCCTTCCTGCCCAGGGAGCTGCTGCACTTCTGTCCCTTCAGCCTTTTGATGATTCTCCTCTCTCCTCAAGTCAATTGGACTGCCTTTCTCCCAGTGGCCCTGAATGACTGACGTGTACAAGCCCAGGAAGGAACTGGAGGTGCTGGCTCTCACGGCTCACTCTTCCCAGGGCAGTGTGTGAGGTTTTAGCACTGGAGCCCTGCAGTTTGCACTCCCAGCTGTGGAGCAGTATCTCCTTCTGGGGGTTAGTGGGGCATCTATGGGAGGAGGGGGCTTGGGCTCCACCTACCCCTCCAATTTTCCAAACCCAGGGTGTGGATTCAATACTAGATTCCTTCTGAAAACCCAACCTGTCCCAGGGATAGATTTGTTTATCTAAAGTGGAATAGTTACATAATTCCTGGAAAGTACAATATAGGAAAAAATGTCTGAAACCATTTGTTTTTCCCTTGGCAGTCTCCATATGGGTCCTTCCTTACTGGGAGTGGGAGGAGCTTAGGTCCCTGGTATTTCAAGCTGCTTTGTGTGTTTTACAGCTCGAGACTGTGCGTGCTGCTTGGGCTGTTATTTACCTTTAATAGCAAATGTGACTTTTATTTTCATAACAGTTCTCTTATTCCTCTGTGGAAGGTTTTGTGCTAGCTGGGTTCCTGTCTCTTCTCCACGTAAAGATGCCCTGGTGGAATGCTAGCCGTTGTTCCTAACCGCTGCGTGGGTGTGTATTCCAACTCCTTCAATGCAGATTTTAGAGCCAGTTGGCCACACGTTGATGTCCTGATACCTTTGTGAAACATAATTTAAAAAACACTGAGGAAAACCTTTTACCTTTAGAAATCTAAGATTTTGAATCAAACAGTTTCATCTAAATTACTTCAGAGTGTGAACATGGTATGGGGAAATAGGCCAACTATTTGCAGCTAATTAAATACCTAATCCTTATTGAAAGGATACCAAGGCAGGCAAAGAGCTTTGAAGAATGGCCATACCACTTACTTCCAAATAGCTGCATTGATTTAGGGGATGTTTGATTTTCACTACTTATTATTTCTTCCAGGAAATCACTAAATAAAATTAGTAATATGATAGATTTTAAATGCTTTAGAGCTGATTCTAA